ATCAGAGTCGTCAGTTTGGATTTAGGGTCTTTTGACCCTCTTTCGGGACTTCAGGGGGCGGTCGAAAACCCTGGTAATTCTAGTGTTAAGTGTCTTATTCTTGACATTGGGTTATTTAAAATTCCTTCGGTTGTATAATGTCTTAGAATATTTTTATGTTTTAGAAATTGATATAATAATAGCTATGCATTTATACAAGATACAAATGTTGCATCTACATTTTCTTTCAAACATCTCTTTAACAGATTTGTCTTATGAAGCCAGAGCTAAAGGTCAGTTTCCGGTAAATGTCTGTTTGGTAAATACAGTTTTATTTCTAAATAAAATCTGACACATAAATCCTCTAAACTTTCAGCTCTTCCTCAACCTAAACTAGAGGTGGATCGACTTCTGATCAAAGAGACTGACTCAGTGACATTAAAGTGTTCAACTTCACATCTTATTGTTGATCAGTGTGTTTTCTACATTGAAAACAAAAAGATGTCTGCAGCCTCCTCCTGTGTGGAAGCAATGACAGGATCTGAACTGTTGAGGATGACTGAGAAAATATTACCAGCTGAGGTCAAAGTTAAATGTTTCTACAGTGTAAAAGATGGAGCTTTAAATGTTAGATCATCAGACAGTGAATCAACCATCATCTCCATAAACAGTAATAAAGATTCTTAAAACATGTTTACAGATATAATGAATATTCCTCACTTATATCTTACATTTTCTGCTCTTTATTTGTTTATGTTTTCAGACCTTGTTCCACCTACACTGACAGTGAACCCACTGGTGATCGCAGAGACAGACTCAGTTACTTTAGACTGTCAGCCTCCATCTTCTGTTTCTGTTACTGAGTGTTATTTCTTCATTGGGGGAGGAAGTCAAGCTCGGAGGTTTAATTGTCAGAAAAGACTAAAAGGAGGAGAGATCTTGTCTTTAGCAAAGCGAAGGTCACCTGCTAACTTTGATGTAACATGTTTTTACCTTAAGGTACATCAATCTCCACACAGTAACTTGCTCACCATCATGATACAAAGTGAGTAAATATACCTTTGCTGGTCTAATCCTGACTACTGTAGTGATAAAATATTTGATTTTATATTATTTTCATTATATTTTCAGTTCTGATAGATTTAAACAGATCACTTTTGGTTCACTATAATTTTCTTGTGTTTCCAAATCAGTTTGTAATATCAGATATATTTATTCATGTAATGGATAATAAAGGCATTTGCTGTTGTTGCTGATATTGAAGAAATAGATTCAAGTCTCAAATTTCATTACTAGTACTGATGGTAGTATCTTTTTTCTTACACCAGTCCTCACCATTATTGCGCATATCTGATTTTATTTACTACATCAGGTGAAACATTTGACATGATCATGGAGGCAGACAATACGTTTACTCCTTCCCCAGCATCAGTGAAACCTGCAATAGATGGAACAACAGGTCAGT